AAAAGTCTTCACTTTTGGCTACTAATTCAATTTTAGTCGCCATTTGTCCTACTTTCAGCGACGAAATTTACATTTTTGGTCGCCAAAACAGCTTTTTGTTGTAGTGGGTTAACTGTATTTTCTTCAACCTCAAGATAGGTGGGTGTGATTTATCTTAATTTTAAAGTTGCAACCAACCATAGAAGAATATTTTTACAGAAAACTTTTTCCAAAAGAAATATTTGTTAAAATGTCTTTTGTCAAAACAAACAAAGTGCTTTATTTAAAATTTAAAAAAAAAATAGAAACGTATTTTTGAAAATGGATCATGCAAACAACAGCACATTTATATAGGAAGAAATTGTGCAAAGCCTAACAAAGGCAGGCAGTCATTGTACAAGGACTCCATCATATATATGGAATGTAGCAAGTTTGTTTCATTTTAAATTTTTTCTGACCACACTGGATGAAAGACTTGAAGATAATAGCAAACTAGTCAAAATATATAAAATTCATTCAGCAGTTTGTTAATACAAACAGAGAATCTGTACAATGAATGATCAAAGAAATTTAAATTAAATAAAAATGAAAATTGAAACCAAGGGGCTCTAATCTAATTGGTTAGCCCTTTGGCCACTAAGTGTCTCCAAAAAGGGAGGTCTTGGGTTCTACTCTTAGGAGTGGAATGGGAGGGCAATATTTTCTTGTAAGGTGCTTGAATGTGAGTTTCAACTCCCCCAAGATACTAATTTAAGAACTAATCGCTGACTTTCGCCGATAAAAATAAATCAATTAAAGGACATATTTTTCATTCCACGTTGTAAAATATAAATTGGAAACTTATATATCTTTTTACTATATCTGCTTTTAGGAGTTTGTTGTTTTCGTTTTGTGGACAGGTTAGACAATTTGATCAGATTAGAAATGGATATGACGAAAGAGGAAATATTTTGATAAGATTAGTCCTTTGGCCACCAAGTCTCTCCTAAGAGGAAGGTATTGGGTTCCACTCTTAGCAGTGGAATGGAAGGACAATATTTTCTTGCAATGTGTATGAATGTGAGTTTCAACTCCTCAAGATACTAATCTAACAACTAATCGCTGACTTTCATCGATAAAAATAAATTAATTGAAGGACATATTTTTCATTCCACGTTGTAAAATATAAATTGGAAACTTATATATCTTTTTACTGTCTCTGCTTTTAAGAGTTTGTTGTTTTCATTTTGGGGAGAGGTTAGACAATTTGATCATATTAGAAATGGATATGACGAAAGAGAAAATATCTTGATTAGATTAGTCCTTTGGCCACCAAGTAGCTCCTAAGAGGGAGGTCTTGGGTACCACTATTAGGAGTGGAATGTGAGGGCAATATTTTCTTTCAATGTGTATAAATGTGAGTTTCAACTCCCCCAATATACTAATCTAACAACTAATCACTGACTTTCTCCGATAAAAATAAATCAATCAAAGGACATATTTTTCATTCCACGTTATAAAATATAAATTGGAAACTTATATATCTTTTTATTGTCTTTGCTTTTAAGAGTTTGTTGTTTTCGTTTTGTGGAGAGGTTAGACAATTTGATCAGAGTAGAAATGGATATGACGAAAGATGAAAAAGCCTAGGGACTATTAAAAACTCTGAACTATTGTTCAATGGTGTATTACATTCTCATAAACTTGAAATATAATTACAACAATACTACAAACTCACCTTTATTAACTCAAAATTTATCTAACAAAAGAAATTAATGGCTCAAATTCATTTTATATGTGAATCTCACATTTCATCAATTCAATCTCCACCACACAAACATATTTGGAGTAAATTTGGTGTTAGAGAATATATGAGAATATTGTTATATCCCACTAATATTGCCTTCCTTTTTCTTTAATTCCTAATTTTGGATTATGTTTCCTTAAGTTGTGGATCTTTCCCTTGTAATAATACAACAGATTATTCTTCCCACACAATTTTATTATGGTATCAGAGCATTGACTCAATTCTCTCTTTTACCTTGTTTTCTTTCACACATGCTTCTTTCACATCTTCACCATGACTAAACTCGAGGAAACCTCTACACAAAACGACGACTCCACTATGGACACATCCAGTCCATATTATATTCATTCGTTTGACCATCCAGGTCTTGTACTTATTTCAAAACGCCTCAATGGCGACAACTATGCTATGTGGTATCGATCGATGCTCATCACTCTCATAGCCAAGACAAAATTGGCTTTGTTGATGGCACCATCACACCACCATCTTCAACCAAGAAGCCAATGGATTTTTCTCTTTGGCTTCGCTGTGACAAGGTGGTTCTGTCATGGCTCCTTAATTCAGTTGAACCAGATTTGGTTGATGGAGTTGTCTATGTAGAAACTTCCCATGAAGTTTGGCAGAATCTCCGTGATCATTTTTCTCAATGCAACGCCCCAAGGATTTTTCAAATGAAGAAGGCAATTGCATCTCATTCACAAGGCTCAACATCAATTTCGACATATTACACAAATTTGAAAAGTTTGTGGGATGAACTCTCATCCTACCAAACCCCCCTTGTTCTTGTGGCGGGATGGAAGTTTTTAATGAACAACAAGATCAAGACATAATCATGCAATTTTTGATGAGCTTCAACGACTCCTTTGGTCTTGTCCGGGACAAATCCTCATCATGAATCCTCTACCCGCTGTCCGTAAAGCATATTCTCTCATCATGTAACGTTGCAAAATTTATAAACCTTTACATAGTCAATTTTTAATAAATATTCACTGACTTTCATCAAATAAATCCATCTCTCATAAAATAATTTTTGAAGAAAAAAATATTATCTTTCATTAAGTAAAACTCGTTCTCATTGAACTATATTAAACTATTATATTTTATGCTCACAATACAAGTTACAGTTCATAAAATTAAAGAAATCAAAAGGAAAGATGCCCTAATAGCGTACAAGTTTCAAGGGCAACCCCTTGGTTACACAAAAGGGTGGACATTCAATCCCAACACCACTGCTGGAAAATCGACTTTTAGCGGCGTTTTAAAAAGGCCGCTATAAGTACTGAAAACGTCGCTAATTATTTTTGTGACGTTTTGTACCAAACGCCGAAGACGCGGCCGTCGCTATAGCTTTATGGCGTTTGGAAAACGTCGGTATATTAGTATAGGCGGCGTTTTTAAAAACACCGCCAAATGTCCTACCCTAACTGTACTGTGACGTCAGTATGACATTTAGCGACGTTTTTAAAACGCCGTCAAAGATATTTATACATTTTAAAAATCTAACCATTGGAATAGGGATATAGTGACGTTCAAAAAACGCCGCCATAGCCTTTATTTTTATTTTTATTTTATTTTTGAAGTTGTGCTAATTTTATATGGTTGAAAAAAATACCTGTCATAAACAATTATTAAGAACTAATAATTGATGTTTATTAAAATAATAAAAAACAAAATTAAAAATAAAAAACAATGCAATAAGATGAAAAATTATAAACAAAATAAAAATAAAAATAATCAATTTAACAGAAACATATAACTCATTTAGGTGCTAACCAAAATTGAGTGGATGCATCAAGAATTCACATCCTGTTAACAAATACAAACCACTTTGATATATATATATATACATACACATTTAAAGAGGTCCACGTACTCCATGAAATCTGAAATGTGCATCTCTGTTGAGTTGAGACAGCATGTACCGACTACATAGTGCTTACAATATAGTGCTTGAGAAATTTGCATGGATCTATTTGCTGCAGCAACAAGTGTGGCTTCATTTAACCGAAGATTGGAACTTCGACATCACCGGTTGAACTTCTTGTGTGGTGATGCCAATGAGGTTGTTGTGGCTGATTCAAGCTGTAGTTGCACTGCTTGGTTGTTCCCTTAGCTTCCTCTTTGGATGACACTGCAGCGAGGAGATCTATTCCACCCAAATCCACCGTACTAAACATGAGGTTAGCAACAGCCCTGTCAATGGAATTCGCCTTTGATTCCATAGTTTTCGTGTCCTCCAACCTGAGAGAATAGAATTAGCCTTGTGAATATCTGTCGTTGCAACAAGAACACCAACACCATTGTTCTCATGACAAAATGAAACTTCATCATTTGACATGTATAAAAATGCAAAACCCTATACGCACAGAAAGTTTGTGTGCACAAAATGCAGCGATTTGTACATTTTGAGACATTGGTGGATACTGTGTGCGTAAACTTTTATGCACATATCATTGCTGATGCAATTGTATTTAACATGAAGGAAAATAATAAATGATGACTATTCACCAAAAGTCAACAATTACGGCTGCACAATTCCCAATTCTAATTTTCCCCTACAAACTAATTTTTACAATTTTTTATTACACATTTTTCCATAAAAAGTCAAAAAGTTAACCCAAACATTCATATTTTCAACCTCAACTTTTTAGTCTAAAAAGACAAAAAGTGCACTTATTTAGTCTTCCCAAACTTGGCCTGAATAAGAAACTCCAAAACATTAGATTAGAGAGATGTGTGTATGTTGAAATATAACAAAAAGAAAAGACAATAAAATATGATTTCCACGATTCTTTAAGAACATTAACTACATTGCAAATGTTGGCTATCGCTACATTGCAGATATGCTCTCATATCATGTCAAGCTATCATTCCATCCAAAAACATAAATGATAGATCACATTGTGCACTCTGTTAGAAACTCTACCACATACTACCTAAACTAATCATAACAGGTAATAAAACACTATGAGTCTATGAGCGTCATGTTCAGCATAATCTATACTACTTATTTACCCTTAATAAGAGGAATTTTGCACATAATATCACAAAGAAAATACAAAGAATTTCAATGACGAGTACGGAATTAAATGTTTACTTCACAAATCCCAAAACCCATAAATTCATATATAAGGGCATATTTTATACTATTATTAGAAGGTAACACCTTAATTGATGTCCTGACAGATTTTTAGCATGCCTGAATTACCCCATGCTCAAACATCTTTGCATAATTCTAGAATGCAATAATTCCAGCCTTTACCATATCTAAAACTACTTTCAATGGGTCAATAATTCCAGCCTTTACCATATCTATATATTCACCTGATCGTGCAACAGAAACAGAAGCTAATCATTTTAGTACAAGCTGAAAATAACATTCGCAGTCATGTGGTGAAACAAGATGATATGCAAGGTGGTCTACAGCATTCGAAGCTATTGTATGCACAGGCATCTGCAATGGAATTGAACCGTTTGTATGGAAAATTGGTTAGTATTCAAAGCTGCTATCTTTTGATTACAGGTTTGAAGCAAGAAGAGGCTCATTAGTTTGCGATAATACAAAATGAGTGATCTAGAAATGGCTGCTTTCGAGTATTTTAATGAGACCCACAACACATGGAAAAATAAATAAATGAATAAATAAAAAATAATTCTAAAAGACCTTTTCGGTTTATTAATGGTTATAAACGAAAACTTTCAGACCTTTAGTGCATTCTGAATAATTTGAACACCAATCTTCTGATCAAAGTTGGCTGTTGGCAGTTTGTCCAACTCTTTTGATGCGTAAAGAAGAGCGACTCCGCCACCTGCAAAGAAAGTGTTTTTTGTCAATCTTTTTATCCATTTACGATAAACTAGAGATTCAGAGAAAGCCAATTAAAATGAAGCTCCCTACCCGGTACAATTCCTTCCTCTAGTGCTGCCTTTGTGGCAGTTAGAGCATCTGTTACTCTGTCTTTCTTCTCACCAACTTCAGCTTCACTTGCTCCTCCAATCTGTGCAATCAAACAAACAAGTTTCATAATTGTGTTTATCATGGGTACTGCTTCACTTGCAATGATAACAGCATATGAGAATTAGAAACTTGATTGGTTGTGTTTTTGTTTTCATATTGTGTTTTCTGAAAAAACTATTTTCAGGAATTTTTTTGAAAACAACCCATTTTTACAGAAACACCAAAAAGATGTTCTCGAAATTTTTTTAAAATGGTCTTCGCATAAAAATGAAAACAATGGAGGTTTTTGAACTTTTCATTGTTTTTGTTTCTGAAAACACAAAATCAAAGCAAAAAACAAAAGCAAAAACAAAACCAAACAAGCAGGCACTTAGCTAGCCTGAGAAGTTTGCATGGTAGTGAGGCAGACCTTCAATACAGCAACACCACCAGAAAGCTTAGCTAATCTCTCTTGCAGCTTCTCCTTGTCATAATCAGAAGTGCTCAAATCAATTGCTGACCTAATCTGTAATCACAAATGATAGGTAGCATAATGAAGTTAGGATCAGAAGAAATTTTTTATTTTTTACTTTTTTGCTATTGCTTTTCAATTAACTAATGGTCAATCAATCACCAACAGTTCAAGAATAAACTCAACAGGCAAATAGGGCTTCACATTTCGAAGAATGAAGCAACATATACCTGTTCACATCTCTCTTCCAAGGCCTCTTTGTCACCAGCACCGTCAATAACAACTGTGTCACCCCATGCTCAAACATCTTTGCATAATTCTAAAATGATTAGCTTGTACTAAAATTATTGTACTCAATCAGAATTATGATCAAAACACAAACAAACAAAAAAAAATCAGAATTACTCATGTCAGAAATCCTACTTCTCATCCTTTTACGTCTGCAACCAGCTTCATTATTGGTTTTTTTGGTCTTCAGTTGTCTTTTTTCAATTTTTATTTTATTTTTACTTATTAGGGACTTGTAGTCTAAAAGCACCTAAAAACTTAATAAACAAAGGAATGAAAATTGGAAGAGTCAACTAAAGATTAAAATTTAAAAAAAAAAAAATTGATTTAATTGAAAAGCAGTTTTTAAAAGTCAAATGGACCAAAAATCAATCATGCTGAATTCCATTAATCACAATGCAACAAGGCACAAGAACTTATGGAGAGAGAGAGAGAGAGAGCTGACCAACAGAAATGGCATTTTGAATCTCAGCACACATGGCAACAGCCTCTTCAGAGTCAATACCCTCCTCTGGTTCATCTTCTTCGATCAACCTGTCCTTATATCCATCCAAACCAGACCCAATTACCCTCACCTTTGACACCAAAAACCACTGAAACAAAGCAAACACAATCCCCACTAAAGCAGCCACAGGTATCACAATCTGTGTTAGGTTCTCACCCATCAAACCCATTTCAAAAACACTCCCAAATGTGTTCTGTTTTTGGAAACTACGAGTCTATGGTGGCTTGTTTTGAAGAACATACAAAAATTTTGAAACTAGAACAAGAGAAGATAACCTATATATCTATTATCCAAAGGGTATAATAAAATTAGTGGCTTTGCTTTGCATTGGGTCCCTATTTAGGAATTTGATAAACAAAAACAAAAACAAGGTTGGTTTGATTGACAGGTAGGCCAGTGGTGGTTTTATTCCATGGAAGCTGCTTGAAAAAAAAAAGGTAGGTTTGATTATCAGGTAGCCATTTCACATTTGGTGGTATTTACCAATTTTACTTTGAATTGAATAGATACTTCTACCCAAATTCCACCTTCCTTGTTAAGACCTCATTATCATTTAATTATGCAAAGTTTGAAAATTCCATATCTCCAGATGAGAGGAGGTTCCATTTGTTCCACTGCTAACATATCAAATCGCAAACAAAGGGACTGAAATGTAATCAAAACAACATTTAAACAATTGAGATATTCAAGCACAACAAAAAGTAAAGTTGCGATAGAAATGATGATATGACACACAATCTGACCTCACATCCAAACCCTAGGAGGAGATTCAAGACTGTAAACCCTAGGAGAAGAATCAGCGGAATGAAGATTTTGAGAGAAAGAGAGAGAACTTCGACATCGAAATCGAGATTGTAGACAGTAGTGCTCACCTTAGTAGACGATGCAGATGGTGGTGGTGGTGGTGGAGCTTCGAAATCGAGAGAGAGAGAGAGAGAGAGAGAGAGAGAGAGAGAACTTTG